ATATATATATATATATGTGATATATGATATATAAATAGACCTTTCTTTCTTTCTTTAAACACGCTTCAGATATATGCATCCAGACAATACAAGTAATTAAAAGATATCGAGAAGATTGGGATGTTTTCTATATAAGCACTTTTAATATGTGGCGTCCCTTAAACGTTTATATTATTTGGATAGTATCAAAAAAAAAAAAATGTCCTTGCAGGAATTTATACTAATGTAATGCGATATATAAAATATAAGAGAATAATGTCTTCCGTTATCACATCGCGAGTTCTATAGTTTCCACATAATTTTGCAAGAAGATAAATAAGAGAAGAATACAGAATATGTAACAACTATATAATAATATGTTTTAAATCAATGCCCTACATATTCTGTTCACTTCTGTAAAATTGTTTAAAGAATCATATAAAGATACATGTACAAGAGATTTTTTTTGTTATGTGCTAATTATAATGTAAAAAAATAATTTATATGCATATGCTATGTATGTAAAATGCAATATTTATATTATTAGGACGTTAGTTATTATTAATGTTTGTTATACATGCCCACGCATATTTATGTTATTTATTAATTGCATTAAATTTTTTTAACCCTGAAGAAACAATGAATTTGTATAACGTGTATAAAATTGATATTAAATCACTCGTATATAATGTATTTTGTAAAGTATACATTGCATGCTACATGTAAAGAGAGGGTGACATGTATTGGATACAATTGGTGCTATGTTCGAATAAGAGAACACGAGCGCTACTCATACAATTTTTCTGTATCGTGTCTATGAGAAAAAAAGTTTATTTACACACTGTGAAATTAATATGCAACGATTAAATCTGGAAGCTCTCCCTTCCTTATAGAATATATCAGTATATGTGTACATATACATATATACATCTCTCTAATATGACACATAATTGTGCTAACAAATAACTTTATATCTATGTTTTAGAATTGTAAAAAAATTGTATATGCCAGCAATGTACATTTTTACTTCGTTGTTATTATATCATTCTTTCTTTTTATTTGGTATATTTAATATTTTACTTATGTACTCCACTTGGTGTAAGAACCTATTTTTGCCAATCTGATTAAGTTGTGATTGCATATCGATCCATCTTACATTTAATAAGCATCACATTATCTCAATCGGAAAAAATTGCTATTATTGATATGCTAAATAGCACTTGAGATTGTATGGAAATCGTAATTATTAAATAAAATAATACTTCTGACAGAGTTTTTATCTACATTTTTAACATATTATAAAATGTGGAATAAAAATATTATTTATTGAAATATATTTTTAAATTCTGAAATTGACAGTTCAATATATTATGTATTGGGTTGAACGGAAAGTTCGTTCCGTTTTTTACTAACAGATGAAGACCGAAAAAACGGCACGAACTTTCCGTTCAACCCAACATATATGATATTTCACGTAATTTTAATATTTGAAAATAATGGAAACTATTTTATTGTTTTATTCTGCAAAGAAATTCCGAGATTGCAATATAATCTTTTTTTTTAATAGGAAAATATAAAATTCTTTTTACACAAATTGATTCATCTGATTATTCTGCATATGAAAGTATCAAGGTAAAATTATATGGAAAAGTGAAATATTTTTTATTTCGAGTCTAAAGTCTTATAACTCTCTTATCCACATCTAAAAAGATATTCAATTTCTTGTTTAAAAACTTTACCAAATGCGCAAGAAAAAAATCTGCAGCAATATATAATATACAATATACGTTTAATATTTATCCTGTCGAACAATGTGGGATTTTGTGGATAAAAAAGCAGATAAAAAAAGCTACGATTTATACAAATTTATTTCAGCCTTTCTCGTAATTTGCGCTTTTTGATCTTGTTAAATCAAATGTCTAATTTCGAAAAGCTGCAATGCTAAACGCTTCAACATTTCTTTACATTGAACGATGAATAATTATCTATTTATCTAATTCTCAATTTGCCTAATAATACATTTATATCAAGTTTATAGATATCGTTCTTTCTCTCTCTCTCTCTTTCTTTCTCTCTCTCTCTCTCTCTCTCTCTGCCTTTCCTATACATTCACTCTGAACTTATTACACCTTACATAAATCGCGAATACTCCAAAATGATATAATATAAATATTTTACATGTACACTAACATGGTAGATAAATTTATTGTGAAGTGTTGAGAGACACGCACACTTCTCTCATACACATATTCTACGTTTATAAGCTGTATACTACTGAGCAGAGCATACCAGTATAAACATTTGAAAAGCCTTCTCTTAACAGTAAACAGTGTATTTGACTCTTTCATCAAACATCAAATTATTTCAACATGTTACTTTTTTTGTTTCATTTCTCTTTTATTTTACACGTGTCCATATATTAATACTCGATATTCACACACAGATAGTTGCTTGGTGCAATGAAATAGATTTCCACACACGTTTATAATGTTCACCTTTAGATTAGATTGATCGAACATTATTCGCGCATAGCTCTTGAACAGAACAAGAGAAACGACTTTGTGGATACAAAAATTTAATTTCCAATTTTGTTGCTTTATCTATTTTACGTTAAACTGATTGTGAGTTTTCTTTCGCTTTACAAATCTCATCGATTCTTCAATTCTTTGCAAGTATCGCGACAATAATTTATGTAATGTATATATATATATATATAAGACGTTGCGTATAATAAGCACGATAAAGATGTTTAGGATTCTGAAAGTCGAACGTCATCTAATAATCCTTTCTTTATTTTTTACTAAAGAACTTTAATATATATTACTTCTTGTAATTATTGTAAGCTTTGAGCCGGTCTGTCCGTACGCAATAAAACTCGCTGTATGCAAAATGACAGTGAGAATTTTTCGCGACGAAGCTACGATACAATTATGTGCTGACGATCGTACAGCGTATTCGATTTAAAAAAGGCGTTAACGCCTAATGATAAGACACGCATTCGTAAATAACGAAACAGATAAAGCGATATTTTTCACTCCATATCCTGTATATTCAACGCGCATCGATTGAAACATTCATTCTCATATTTTGACTAGAATGTGAAATCTAGTGTAATATATATATATATGTACATATTACACTATACACGCTATACTTCCTTAGCATAAAGAAGCGTATACACCTTCATTGAATCAAATTCTTTATTTTTTTTTGCTGTCTGATCGTGAGCACGTGATTGTTATCATTCTAATATCTTAGCGATACAATCTTAAAATTTATCTTCATATACATATAAATGATACGATTCAATATCGATCGATACCTAAGGAAAAACGTATAATTGTATAATAAAATCGATAGAGGAAGGAACCATTATAATTCATATAAAAAAGGAAACAATACTAATCTCTGAGTATACAGAATTTTTGCGACTATATATACATATATACATATACATACATACATACATACACATATATATAGATTCGGATCACATTCCCTAAAAGTCTAAATATATCTTTGGTATCGCATTTACAAAGTTTGGAAGCGTAAAACGCTCATATATAGAGAGCGATCGATTAAGACCGATGATTCCTTTCCCTGTAAATGCTCAACCTGTGCTCCACAAAAATAAATGAATCAAGAGAAGTCGACGAGAGAATTCTTGATCTTACACTACTGATCTTGCAGATTTATTTCTACAATCTAATTTCGCTTGATTTATCTAAACGCTATGTCCTCTAAACATACTGGATACGTTAACTGCACCAAACCGATTTGGCATCCTCTCAGAGGATGTAAAAAAAATTACATGTCATTAAGTGTGATTAAGTAAAGAACGTCACGAAAAGATGTCATAAAACGAATACATTACAAGAGACTTTGAAAGAAATAAATTAATAAAAAAATCTCGAGTCTATCGATATGCAGTGTTTTGTTTTTGGAAACTCAAGAATATACAAGATGGATCATATACATATATATATATGTATAATTGCTGACTTCCTTCCAGCCAGCAAGCTCGGTGCAATAAGTGTATTTTCCGTTCGAAGATACACGTGATACGCAATACAACGGTTTTTTTATCGTTCCCTTCTTTCTTACGAAAGTATAATTCGTTTTTCGACAAATCCCATTAATGTTGCGTATTTTTGTAGTCAATTATCGATATAGCCAAGCAAGTTTTATTCTCAAAGACTATATTGTTATGGCCACATGTTACCTCATGGATACATTATCCTATCAATGTATCAGAGATTATTATTTTACTCGGTGGTCCTGGAGATGAACGGCACTATTTTTTTTATCTCATCAGCCAGAAAATATGTTAAATATACGACTATGTCATATCACTCGAAATACGCTAACAGCTAATTGTGCAGACTAGCAAAGAGGAGCGCAAACATAGAGACATTTTGCTAATGTATATACTTTGGCAAGAGATACGATCATCACATCGGTGCCATCGTTTTAATCGCACATCTAGAGGACGTCATTATAAAGAGAGAGTATTTTCTTTTCTTTTTTTAACATCCGGACACGAATCAAGTAGGTGTTTCTGTTCTTTTAATTTGGCATTAGGCAGTCAACGCGACAGCTATGTCGCTACAAACAGTATTATCTACTATACTGTCGCTTTTTTTTATCAAATCAAAAAAGGAAAAAAGTCAGAAACATCGTCACTATATCACGACTATGTTATTAACAATAAACTCTCTCTTAATTCTTTCGGAGAACAATTATGTACAATGCATTAAGTTTAAGCGCTTTAACGCGTAATTATTTTTCTGTAATTACTAGAGACATGAAAAACTTGCTTGTCATTAAACGTGTTTTGTGTAAAAAACTCTAAATAAATTATTTCAATTTTTCAAAAGTATAAATAGACACTTTAACATAAAATAACTTTTATCTAAAATTTTTCAAATCTCTATATCAGTTAGAGAAAGAAAAATAATTACATATTAATACATTTAAACCAGACACAAATACATTGTATAAATGTGTATATATATCTGCACACTTGATGCGATAAGATATAGTATTTATAAGATATTGTATCACACCACATAGTTCCAATCATGATGTTTCTTTCGAAAGAATTAAAGAAACTCTTTGCTTGCTCTGCAATGATATTTGCATTACTTTAATTCAAGATATTTTGTCATCTTTCTGATATGAATATCTTACCAGTATAAGAATCACAAATAAACAAATAACACGCAATAAATATTAAATAAATTTTTGAATAAACGGAAGAAATTTTCTACTATATAAAATAAATATATGTATATACTATATGTATAAATTCTTATTTATGTTAATCTGCCATAGAGAAATCACAATGTCCTCGTCTTTTAAGGAAGCAAAATTCATGTAAAACTGATATATTAATGCGAGTACAATGGAGAAAATTAAACTAAATCTTGAAGTAAGAAAATAAAAATGTATTTTTAATCGATAAATTTTTAAAAGAGAGTATTTCTCTCTTGTATTAACAAAAGATACCTTATCAAATAAGGTGCAAAAATATTTCAGGGAAAGCCAAATGCGCGCGATCATTCACTGGCAATGAGCAAGAATAAAAATATTTAAGAATATTTTTGTTACTTATTTCATTATTATCTTTATAATTTTTGTGTATCCATTAAACTTTTATTCTCATATATCGCGCACATGTAGTATTATCTTACTAATTTTGTGCGCTAAAAAATTGTTTGCCTGTATCACAGACCTCTTCAGTAATAACGTTTCTTCTAGAATATCTGTACATCTTTCTAACGTTATAGCGTGTTTTATACCTCAAGTTTTATACCTCAAATTTCGGATTCCAGTATAATAGATTTCCGAATTTCCTTTTCCGATAAAAAAATTCCAACATTGTTACAAAACTGTTCTTTCGTCTTCTGTTTTTGCATACGTTTTCGCAAAATTGCATTAAACTTATTTTACTCTTCATATTTACTTATCACAAACAAAATGCAAGTCAATTAGCATTAAATAATTATCATTAATTTAAAAAAACCGTATTTATACGAGCTCTTGTTTCTCTCTCTGACGTCATAATTCGAGATAATTATAGTGAGAGATCAAAAATTACAATAGAAGAAAATAGAATCAGTTTTAGCATTCTATGGCAGTAGAATCTCCGAATTTCGTCATTTTATAAATACCGAAATCCGGAATTTATAATAAAACAATGATGTATATACACAATGTGCCTTGTAATTTGTTACAAATTGCTATCTCAGTAACTAGTTTTAAAACAATAAAGAATCTTAATTGGAATAAAAGATATATCATTTGTGATACTGTTGTGACTGTTTCTCTGAAATAAAATTATAAAATTTATAGGCATTTACAGGCAACATTAATTTGTTTACATTATTTATCAGAAAGATTTTTAAAGTCAAGAATATTTCAAGAGAGATTATTCGAAAAGAAACCATATTTTTCTTTATCTTGACATCAATTGTACAAGAGAGAACAGAAAGGGGATGGAAAGAAAGAAAAATATATTTGTCATTTGATAAAAGAACTCAAAGTACTTTGAGAGCTAACAAATTAATTTCTTTAAAAAATAAAATTCTTCTTTTTCTTTTATGCCATCAAACCATTTTTAAAAATTTTTTCGATATCTCGCCTAATTATCAAAATATTGAATTGTAACAATTGATTATTTGATTATTTTTGATTAATTGATTGCACGTCCCATACCTTCGTATATGTATATACGCGTAACATATAACTCAAATTAAAAAATTACTGAATTAATTTTGTAATAAAATTGTTCTTTGTTCGAGGACAAACAACAATTGCATATCTGGAAAAAGAGCGATAAAATTGCTTTAACACATTGTTACTTCCTAATATGAAAATTAAAATATCTTTAAATAAGAGAGAATTTGAGATATTATCAATTCATTATTTTTTAATTTACTCAAGCTGACAATAATAAAATAATTCAAGGCACTAACAAAAATTAGTAAACATTAATATTAAATAAAAGTGAAAATAATAACTTGATTATCTTTGAAACCATATTTTCATTAAATAAAACTTAAATTTGCGATATCTCCCAATCTTGCTACTTAAAGATATCTCAGTATTGAATTGAGTAACGTATTGTCATAAAAATACGTCATTAATCGAAAATTTCAGTATATGTATAATAGCACTCCCATAACCAACAAAATCTCTATACAAATGGACATATTCTTTTAATTGCTTATGATATATCGACAAACGAATTTGTGTCGATGTGATAAAATTATATATTCATCGAGTTATCTACACAAGACAAGCATATCAATTATATTTTATAATATAATTTCAAGACGTACATGCATCATATGAATCCCTTGTGGACATAATGTATGCTTATCACACATAACTATACATTTTGTATGACATAAGAATGTTCCAGGTGTTTAAATATCTTCTATCGCTATTACCAAATAATGGAATAAATGTAATATATGTATCTCGAATATATCGGAATTTGCAATATCCGCTAAAATCTAATTCTTACTAGGCAGTCTTAAGAAGTTGATGGTTATCGGATTTGCATATAAAACGAGTCAATTAGTGTATCATTGATAATACAAAATATGTAAGTAAATTGCTAAAAGCCTTCACATTATAATGACGGAAATCTAGATTTATATAGCATTTGAAGTCTGTTGTTGTGGATTATATTCCAATAACGCTATTGGAAATGTCTTGATGTGTGTTTGCCATTGCGCTGATAGTTGGAAGAATTTTACACCATACCACTCGGTACCATCAATGCTTACTGTAGCAAGAATAATTACCATAAGCGATTAATGTAAAATGAAGTCTAGATTAATCATACTTATAATAATAAAAAAGGAGCGAGGAGGCAAAGAATGATTCTCAGATCCAGATGTTCATTACACCATAACATGTAAGTGTTTGAGAAGATTCTACATAACTTAAGATTCTGAAAATTTAATCAATATAAGAATTTTTTACCTCTTAATGGAATGTTGTGTGTTTTCGCAGAACATATAAGACGCGTTACACCATCCACTGTTTGACTCTTTGGCTCGTTTTCTTTCTCTTTTTCTTTTTTTTTACCCAATCTCATTACTGGAACAGAACATTTCCAGTAAGTCTCTACTCTTAAATCTTACATATATTCTAATTGTAGCAAGAAAAAATTAATATTATTCTTTCTGAAATACATAGATTAACATTCTTACTTTTTTGTTTCTTCTCTTTTGTAGTGTAATTCATACATAAGTGATGTCCCGGAGCTTCGCCCAATGAAGGAAGTCTTTGCACATGCAACGCTCTGAAAGCTTGACGTAACGTGCTCTTTCCTTTTTGTTTCTTTAGTGTAATTCATACATAAGTGATGTCCCGGAGCTTCGCCCAATGAAGGAAGTCTTTGCACATGCAACGCTCTGAAAGCTTGAAAGCTTGTGATCGACCGAAAGAACTGCTATCCGGACAACCCACGCGAACGTCATTTATAAAGGGAATGAAGATTTGACTGCTGTCGTCTGTTTCTCTGCTCTGCAATCCATCTCTTTTCGACGCCATTGTTCAATATTGATTTTAAAAGAAATTTTTGTATCAATTACCTGTATGTAACCATAGCTTCTGCTATAGGTAACAATAAAACTGTATTCGCTGTGGCCAGATATTCCGATACTCGCGCTGCGCCTTCAATCGAACCGCCACCTTCCCTTTCCAAAAGCTCTTTCCACTCGTCTCCGAAGAGCATCGAATACTTGGAATCGATGGAGCTGAGATATCTCGTTAACGTATTCGAACCGAGCGGCACCACTAAAAATTTCATGTAGTTCTGCCAATCCGGCGATCTGAAGCTCAGCAAGTCGACGTAGTGACGAAGAACTGCGTTTATGAAACTATCTCCTCCAGCGATGACTACCTTGACGGGCGCGGGTGGTTTCGCAGAACTGTTGCAACTGAATATATAAAGATACGGATTAAAATTTTTTTTTTAGATATTCTTTAGTAAGATGAATACTCTATATGTATATATATGTTTAATGTATAAAAATTTTTCATACATTTTATGTTATCAATTATGAATTGTGATGCACACAAAAAGAATTCATTTTAATATATAGTACAAGAAAAAGATTCATATTTTGTAATTACATATTCATATTTTAGAATTACAATTTTTGTATTCGCGTGACCAAACACGTGAATGTTGCGCGAATGTCAGCCGGGGAGACGGTCGTCAGAACTTTGTGGTTTCTCTCTTGTAGTCTCGCGGCAAGGACCGCACCACCCGGATCTGCTATCGATACGAGGGATACAGCTTCCGGTAAACTATCATCTGGTAATACACGACTTAGTTGTTCGACTAAAGCTTTTCTCGGCTGAAAATAATAAACATAATTTTGAAATGATATCAGATTTTGGATCTTTCAATCAACAATCACACATTGTATAAATATCTATATATAATGCGGCAACAGATGTCTAACTGGGCCTTCGGACTTGCGTCGCATGAGATTTCCGGTTGTATGAGAAAAAATGGCGGCGGTCCTGTGTGTGTGTGTGAAGCGAATCATTCGTGTGAGTTTTAAGAAAATCTTTCTTTTTTTTTTCTTATGTGGCGGCGGCGGCGGCCATTTTTTCTCATACATTGGGAATCCTATCGGACGCAAGCCATACCATTGTTATCGTGACAAGTTAGCAATCTAGTTTAGTATAGACATCTGTGAATGCGGCGCACATTCGGCGATTAATAGGCTTAAGAAGGAGGAAGCGGATGCGAGAAATTAACGATGTCGAATGAACACCCCGAGAATGTGTCTAACATCATGCGATACGACGACGCACAAAAAGCTAATTATTATCCGTAATTACCTCTGTATTATTTAAATCGGCCGAGGGTTTCAGATCAACGCTCAGACTGTGCTTCTTGGATTTATTACTACCCGGCGTTCCTCTGTCGCGCGCGAAAAGTCTGCTTTTTCTTTCGGAACTCTCGCTCTTGTTAGGCTGCTCGGATTTCGGCGGCGAACCCGCTATGTAATTCGGCGGATCGTTTGCTTCGTGATCCGTCCAGTTCTCAGGATGGGAATCGCTGTCAGTCTTTCCCTTTTCGCCTTGAGTCTGTTTACCCCAATAATCCAGCTGAAGCTCGACTGGTTCCCATCCTTCTCTCGGTTGGCCTACGTTAGGACTACTGGGTGGTGTTAATTTCCCCGGAGGTGGAACCGGCAAAGTCGGAGGAGGTAAGGAAGGCGGAGAACCGGACATACTGACATTACTCTCCTCCAGATCGACCGATGCGGAAGAACTGCTATCCGGACAACCCACGCGAACGTCATTTATAAAGGGAATGAAGATTTGACTGCTGTCGTCTGTTTCTCTGCGAATAAATCCATCTCTTTTCGACGCCATTGTTCAATATTGATTTTAAAAGAAATTTTTGTATCAATTACCTGTATGTAACCATAGCTTCTGCTATAGGTAACAATAAAACTGTATTCGCTGTGGCCAGATATTCCGATACTCGCGCTGCGCCTTCAATCGAACCGCCACCTTCCCTTTCCAAAAGCTCTTTCCACTCGTCTCCGAAGAGCATCGAATACTTGGAATCGATGGAGCTGAGATATCTCGTTAACGTATTCGAACCGAGCGGCACCACTAAAAATTTCATGTAGTTCTGCCAATCCGGCGATCTGAAGCTCAGCAAGTCGACGTAGTGACGAAGAACTGCGTTTATGAAACTATCTCCTCCAGCGATGACTACCTTGACGGGCGCGGGTGGTTTCGCAGAACTGTTGCAACTGAATATATAAAGATACGGATTAAAATTTTTTTTTTAGATATTCTTTAGTAAGATGAATACTCTATATGTATATATATGTTTAATGTATAAAAATTTTTCATACATTTTATGTTATCAATTATGAATTGTGATGCACACAAAAAGAATTCATTTTAATATATAGTACAAGAAAAAGATTCATATTTTGTAATTACATATTCATATTTTAGAATTACAATTTTTGTATTCGCGTGACCAAACACGTGAATGTTGCGCGAATGTCAGCCGGGGAGACGGTCGTCAGAACTTTGTGGTTTCTCTCTTGTAGTCTCGCGGCAAGGACCGCACCACCCGGATCTGCTATCGATACGAGGGATACAGCTTCCGGTAAACTATCATCTGGTAATACACGACTTAGTTGTTCGACTAAAGCTTTTCTCGGCTGAAAATAATAAACATAATTTTGAAATGATATCAGATTTTGGATCTTTCAATCAACAATCACACATTGTATAAATATCTATATATAATGCGGCAACAGATGTCTAACTGGGCCTTCGGACTTGCGTCGCATGAGATTTCCGGTTGTATGAGAAAAAATGGCGGCGGTCCTGTGTGTGTGTGTGAAGCGAATCATTCGTGTGAGTTTTAAGAAAATCTTTCTTTTTTTTTTCTTATGTGGCGGCGGCGGCGGCCATTTTTTCTCATACATTGGGAATCCTATCGGACGCAAGCCATACCATTGTTATCGTGACAAGTTAGCAATCTAGTTTAGTATAGACATCTGTGAATGCGGCGCACATTCGGCGATTAATAGGCTTAAGAAGGAGGAAGCGGATGCGAGAAATTAACGATGTCGAATGAACACCCCGAGAATGTGTCTAACATCATGCGATACGACGACGCACAAAAAGCTAATTATTATCCGTAATTACCTCTGTATTATTTAAATCGGCCGAGGGTTTCAGATCAACGCTCAGACTGTGCTTCTTGGATTTATTACTACCCGGCGTTCCTCTGTCGCGCGCGAAAAGTCTGCTTTTTCTTTCGGAACTCTCGCTCTTGTTAGGCTGCTCGGATTTCGGCGGCGAACCCGCTATGTAATTCGGCGGATCGTTTGCTTCGTGATCCGTCCAGTTCTCAGGATGGGAATCGCTGTCAGCTCTTCGAGAACTGTCATCGCTCTGTCTATCCACTCCACGCTCTGCAAGAAGATTTCGTTATTCTCTATCGGAATGTTATGTAATGTGATTCTCAAATATAGAGAGTGCGTCTTAAAATCACCGATACATTTGGAAGCCTTTTCCTCAACTATTGGAAACGAGTTTGTAATATTCTAATATTAAACACTAAGTTTAAAATTAAAATTAGACAATATCTCGAATTGTATAATCAAAGAATAAGATATTTTATTCGTTAAAATTTCCTCAAAACTCTCCATTGTCACAATCAGTTAATTTTCATTTAATATAACATTATTGATATCTAAACATTGAGAACATCGTTCTTTTATTATTAAAATCGGAGTATCGGTGGTTTTGGAAGACTCTGCATAAATATTCAAGTGGGATAAGAAAATGTAAAGTGAAGAGGAGCACGACTAATGTGCTAAAAAACTGCTCGAAAAGTGCACTAGGCGCCACATCTTCGTACCTGAAATTAAACACTTTCATATTGAATACATTATAAATAGATACTCGTGAATTATATGATCTTTCTTTGTTAATTAAAATACCAAAAAAAATATATTTTCCTCTCAATTATTTTTTAAAAATTGTATCTTATTTTTTTCACATATGCTATGTATATCTACATATTTATATTTAACTTTCCATACGCATATCAGAGACAATTTAGATTCTAGATTCAACACAAAAGGTATTTAACTCTAGATGCGAAGGAATACACGTGGCGTCTGAATACTCGCGATAAATGGCAACGGTTTTGCACACGCATGTCAAATTTGAATCAACGCTAAACTTTTTGAGATCGCGCAATCGTATGTGATATTTGCTACAGGATATTATGGCAAATAACATGTGAAATGATGTGCAATTCGCAGCGTTATTAGAAAAAGCAGAGTATACATGACTAAGATTGACAGAGTAAAGGATACGTACGTATACGAGTAGATAGAGAGATACACAGGCCGGAGATCACAGATCGAAGTCTAATAAGATTACATACAAGGAGCCGCAAAAGAGACACACAGCAGGGTAGTATGTGGAGGGAAACGCACACAGGCTCTCGCATTACATTATGGATACACACATTACACGGCGCATCTTTTAAAGTGTATTCGGAAAAATTCGTATAATAGGAATAACTGCAAGAAAATTAAATGCCAGCACAAACATTTATTTACACTGAAAATAACTTAACTATACATCAGTATGTATTCGTAGCCTTATGGCGAAAGAATATTTTTTTATATTTCTTTTTTTTTTTTTCAGAGAGAAGTAAGAATAATAGAAGATACAAAACCGAGAAAAAAGACATGCTAAATGTATAGGTATACATGTAAGAGAGTTATAGAAATTGATGAAACCACAAAGTGCTTGATTGATTTTTTTTTTTTTTTTTAGATACAGAAACGTGCCACTTCGATTATTCTTGCATTTGGCTACATTAGAAAAACATGTTGCATTATTAAAGGAAAAAAATTAAAATGTTTATATATATATATATATACACACGCAAATTACATTGCTTGTGTAAATGTAAATCGCGAAGCCACTTAATTACCAAATGTGATTGAAACACCAAGCTTCTGTCGATTAGCAAGGTCATTCATGCGCTGGAGTTTCTTCTCTAATCTACAAAATTGTCGTTGCTAAATTTCTTTCTTTCTCTCAATTTTTCTTTGATATTTTATTACAAATATAAAATGTGAATAATATATATATGTATGTATATTATTTATATTTTTTGAAAGAAATCGTATTTTTTTCAACTCAGACGTATCTCGTACCAATTTGTAACATGGAGAAATAAGGATTCAAATATAACGACTATAAAATATCTTACTCAAAGAAACATTGGCGGATTATTACATTATCTTCAATGATATCTTACGTTGCATGCTTTATTCACAAACGCAAGATACGTGCTGTTTGGTAAGAAGCGGAGTCCTTAGAACGTTCCAACTATTTTTCGTCTTCATAGGGTTTCAGGGAATTAATCGACATTTACATACCTGGAGTTGTGTGTCCGATACGTTGTTTCTCTTTAGCCGGCTGACCCGCTGGCTGCTGATACGTGGTAGTCGTCGAGATAGTTCCAGTGTCCTCGCTGGTTACTACTATCGAATCGTAACATGCAACAGTGCAAAGCCAACCCACCAGACTTTCACTTAATTCACAAGATCTGTATCTGAGTAAGCTATGTATTTCTTTTAAAGCATAATTCTTAGACAAATTGACGATTTTAGGGCCTTTAATTGTTCGTTCCAGCTGTATTAAATTATATGATGTCTCAAAAACTCATACGGATCTCTTTCGTGCATTATATATCTAAATAAATTGGTTTCTTCGCATGCCACCGCTTGTATTTAATAGTATAGCTTGTTGAAATATGTTGAAAACTTTCATTCTGGTTACTCTTTATAAATAAATCTACATACATTTTTTTAATGTACATATTTTATATTTCCAGCAAAAATAAATTTTATTTTTATAGCTTCAAGTTGATCTTTCAAAATTTACGCTTTTATTAATTCACAAATCAAAAAAAATCTCTTTGGCATATTTAATAAATTTCTTTTATTTAAGATAAAATATGGCATACAAAAGAAACAAATTTGGCTTAATATATATTGCAAGAAAAAATTTATTCAGATTTTTCGTTTTTCACGTCATAATCCAATGGCTGTAATTTGGAGTCTCTTAATCTCGATTAAGCTCGATTATTAATTGTGTTTGTCCATTTAGCTTTCCCATCTTTTCTAAAATATATCTTTAACAACAAAAATTCAATATTATCTATATATAAAATTATGTATTCTTTAAAAATTTAAATAAAAAGTTTTTGCACTCTCTTTTTTTATCCAAAAGAATTGTACGATCATATAAATAAAGAGGAAAAAAAATTTTAAAACCCTATCATTCTTTTTTCATGGGAATTACATACTGATTCTACCTGTCGTATAAAAGATCTCATTGAGCGGTAAGAAATACGACAAAAAAACTTTTACCTCTTTACTTAAGTCTTAAAGAAACGGCTTGTAATGCGCTTTATGCTAATACAAATCAATACATATATACATATGCAAACACTTAATTGTTAATTCTTTTGATTCAAAATTTACGTTTTGAATAATTTGTTGATAAAAACTTTAGACGAACCTGTAAAAGGTATTCAGATTGCAACAGCCACATCATGCTGCTTCGCCAAGACATCAACAGCCTAGTCAAGTGGTGAATAAGAAATGCATCTTTGGCAGTTATAAATCGTTCATTTTTATGGAATTATGTGTTAAAATCCCCTTTTAGGCATAATATATTTATATATATGTGTGCAATTTTTATCAAAATTATAGAATATAGATTATCATTCTTCTCAAAATGTTTCGAATTTATAAACTAAGAATGCGGGAACGCTAATCTCAAACAATTTTCATTTTTATCTTGATATTTGCATGCAAAAGACAAGTATATACATTATTATACTTTTTACAATAAATATAAATATAATATTTATAGTTCTTTTCTTTAAAACGTATCATAAAGAAGAGACATAGAATTTAAAATCTTTTTAGAAATCTTTTTAAACAAAAAAATATTTTTTATTTTGCAAACATTATCAAATATAATACTAAATTTTTTTCCGCGTTGATTTTCTTTATAACGCGCAACATATTGTAAAATATCATCTTTGGAGAAAAAATTTGTGAGAAACTAAAAGGGTAACTTGGAACTAGAAATATATTTTCCTTTAAAATTCCAATAAAATGACGTTTAACCGCGAAAGATGAAACTTTAATGGGTGTAATTGATAGTCTAGAGCGAAAGCGAGTCAAATACGACGTGTTTTAAATGTACTGTATCTTTCAATCCTTACCGTATAACGTTATATATGACTGAATAGTATAACATTTGTTTAAACAGCACCAGCTTTTAATACGCTGCGTTATGCTTCAGTATTAAGTCGCAACATCGGCAAGAAATTAATTTCAAGAACGAATCGATAAAATACCTTTGCCATGTGTCACACATATCGCACATTTTGTTAGGATACGCGAATAATCGTTATGCGCGATGACTTACCAGAATGAGGTGGCGCGAGGAGGGATCGACTGGAACTGAAAAATGGTCTTAGCGACGGCTTTGGTGTACTACTAACAGACATGGTATCCAATTCCGGTCCACTATCCGATAAGTCCTCTAGTTCATCGAACAATTCTTCTATCTCCATATCACCGCCTTTAACAAAGCAATGAATCATTCAAATAGATTCATTTATTTCAGGCTTGATTTTCATTTAACATTAAAAAAAAAAAATTTTTTTAGCATATTGTACACTCGAATATATAAAAGTCTTAAAAATCTTGGATCTCTTATATAATTTTTTTTGTTTCATATAATATATATATATATATTATATGAACACACACACACACACACCTGAAAGTTTTTGCCCGATTTCTTCTTGATCGTGCTCCAACTCCTCGGATACCCTAAATCGCTTCAGCAGTGCTATAAACTTTTGCTTCAAATTTCTTTGCTGCAAAACACGATAACATCATCATAATCCTGGTATAATCGCAATGATGGGCGAGGAAACTCAAGTCTGAAATACTGTACCCACGCACCCTGGCATTCGTTGGAATTTTTCCGCGACTCTTTCGCCTGTGTACCTCCAACGTAGGCTCGCTGTCGCTGCCCTCCGCCTCGCCTTCCGAACTAAATTCCTCCTCTTCGTCACTGAATTCCGGGCAGAGTCTTTCGTTGGGATCGTTCATCAGTCTTTTGTCGTGGTCGACCGGCTGGGAGCTCAGAGCGATAACGCTCACGCGCGCCAACGCGACCGAGTGGCCGCCGTATTTCTCCGCCTTGTCCGATACGAGTTCCAGCTCGAGATCCATTTGTTTCTGCAGCACCTGTATTCAAAAGTTGGATATATATCTCTTCTAATTATATCGCAATTAATCATATATTACCTTAAGCTTTAAGAGAATGCTAATAATTATTATTATACAATAATTATACTATGTACTGTCTCTCGGTCAAATAAATCGAAATTTCTGACTTACTTGCGCCATGTTAATGATCCCTTCCGCGAGGGTCTTGTATCCGAGCATCGTGCGATTCTTGTATCGCTTTCGCCTCTGCAATAATATCAGGAGCTTGTTGCCGTCCCTCTTAAGAAAATGAGGATATTGAAGCGCAAACTGCAACTCCAATTCCGTATCGAGTATTCCTCCGGTCGGTATAGCCATCTCGTTGGATCGCAGGGTCCTCTTGGAGCTTTGCATCTTGACCGCGATGCTAATGGACGCCAGATCCGAGCCGAGAGGCCGAAGTATAACTAGACGCGTTAACGTCAAGGAACACAGCCTGAAAAAATCAATTTCAAGTTACGATATAAAGTAGGATAATATTGTATTTTAAAGTTCAAAGTTGATCCACAAAAAGAGATCACCTTGAAAGTATGAGAGATTCGAGCGAGAATACAACCAATAGCGCGTGAAAATAAATTGGAAAATAGGTCCTCTCAACAGAAAGACCCTGTTTGTATATTTCAGCGTTAAGCGTCGATAGTTTCAACCAACATTTCAATGTAGAATATTGATCGGACAGTTGGCAGTTAAAACAAAATTACAAGAATACATGAATTAATAACATCAATCGATATAATTCTTTTCTCGAAGCTCGAGGGACGAGTGGACGAGACTAGCGTGACAATTGAAGCATCTACGTTCTACTACGAGATACGAGATATGAGGCGAGGGCGAGGGCGAGGGCGAGGGCGAGGGCGAGGGCGAGGGCGAGGACGAGGACGAGGACGAGGACGAGGACGAGGACGAGGACGAGGACGAGGACGAGGACGAGGACGAGGACGAGGACGAGGACGAGGACGAGGACGAGGACGAGGACGAGGACGAGGACGAGGACGAGGACGAGGACGAGGACGAGGACGAGGACGAGGACGAGGACGAGGACGAGGACGAGGACGAGGACGAGGACGAGGGCGAGGGCGAGGGCGAGGAGCCGACAAAAGCCGATTGTATTTGTATGTTGTATTGTATGTTGATTGTGTTGATGTACGTACGCGCGGACGTGCATCGGATCGGATCGCGTACTATCGTATATAAAGACTTCACCAAAAAATATATGAAGACTTCAAGTAATTTAGATCTGGCGAGGAGGCGGACAAATATTGCGAATTATCAGAATTATCGGAATTATCGTTTCTCGTTGAGTCATAATCCATATCGAATTAAAACGAGCGAAACACGATTGCTGATCCCATCAAGTGCGATTATCGGAAGATCACGCAAGATTTCTGTATAGAAACATTAACACGCGGCTAAAATCGATCCTCAAATTTATACCGAAAAGGAATTCTCCGCAATCCTCTTGCTTGCTCGACAATGCGCATCGCTACTGCTAGCGCCTGGCAACTGTCAACACCCCCAAAAATTTCGCGATGAACAATTAAAAACTTTGATATAAAAAACGAGCTAAATATACTAGGGATGATGTTCCTCGACAAAAGGATATAAAAGCTAGTAACTGATTAGAAAAAGTCTCAAAATTCTGATGGAGATTTTATGTTGAAAAATATAGAGCAAAATATATACGTGTAAAATTGTTTGACAGTAATACAACTCCATCGTAAAGAAAACCTTTCCTTTTTTTACGGTCGATCGGTCTTTACTCTCTTTCTAAACACTCTTTGTACATAATTCACTTCTCGATGATAGAATCTATACCACGTGGAGACATCGTCGACAAAATCCTTATTGAAGGAAGCGCGGAGAGAAGGGTGGTTATCGTTATTTATGAAAAAGCTTTCCCCGTAGTTGGGAAGGGGCAGGCGAATACTAAATATAGCTGCAGAGAGGGTAGAACTACAGGTGGTACGTTGTCATTTATTTTACATGTGTGTGCACGATGACGAGGCTCGAAGCTCGAGGCCAATTTGCACGATTTAATCTGACATTAGCAGATTCGCGACAGACTTAAACTACATTCGGTTAAATGTTTTATGAAATGTCCGAATGATCCGAATTATACGAATATTTGAATTTTAAAAACAAGATTTGTATATTACGATACAGTAGATCATTCGAGAATAATAAAGAAAAAGAGAGAGAGAGAGAGAGAGAGAGAGAGAGAGAGAACTATTCCCAATATGAACACTTTTTCGGAGATTTGATCGATCCACTGAAACAAAATTATTCGAATAAAATAATAGAGAGACAAATATACAAATATTTAAATTCCTTCTGATTGCAATTGAAAATAGACAAATAGACATAATAATTAAATTTAAATATACAGAATAGATTTGTGAAAATCTATGTGCAACATGTCCTCTTTGAGTTATAAAATATCGTTGCTAATCTCAACTATATTTACAGGAAATTCTGCACGCAACATATTTCTAAATCATTTCGAAAAATCTATTTTTAGTAACTTTTTGCGAATCAACAGCATTGTAGCGCCAATCGTAGCAACATTAATTATGCAGCGTTACGGCTACTTTGCGTACGAATTTATACCGAACTAACCATTGCCTTTTGCCAAACACGCACTGCCAAACTATTACTTTGGCAGCGCAATCGAGAGTCAGAAATACAATAATCGTATTTCATGCCAATGCGATTTTTACAATCGTAAAAATACACACATATACGCTGTATTTTGTTCATAATATAGTTTTACAATCGATTCTAAATCGATTAAGGTATTTAATGAAGGTGTCCGTAGTTTTGAGACGCATTGCGTAAATAAATGTGAATCTCTAAAACGTGCGCTAGATAAATATTTATTTGCGTAATACCCATTTCCGATCTTGTGCAGCAAATTTAAAAACAGTCTATATATTTTCATAGCTTAACATTCTTATCGTTAGAAAATATTTCAAGGAACAGTAACTGAATCGTGTGATAGATAAGATGATTGATATATGCCTGCTAAATATATTTCGAACGCTAAGAAAACGCTTTCCTATCGCATCTTATCGTTAGAATACGTTACTCGATAAATGTAACGTGGCTAAATTTCTTTTTCTTTCATTTAGATATTTTTCGAGTAAACACGAATATTTGAGACTAGAAAAATTATCTTATTAGGGCTGACTAAGAAATTTAAATTTCTTAGCAAAATATGATAAAAAACAATCTGAAAAGAAAATACATATAGTTTTAAATATGTTAAAAATACTTATCACATTAATCTATTAAAAATTATAAATGTATAATATAAAAAAAAAATTTAGTTTAATCATTTAGTTTGTTTTATTTTCTGCTTATTGGTATTATATAATTTTTGAAAAAGAAAA